GCGGGGTCGGGCGGGTTCCAAGGGTGGGTGGGACTCACCCCGCCAGCCCAGGCCGCGGAGAAGTCCACGGTGCCGGACTCGGGACCCTCCAGACCTGCAGAATTAGGGCCTGGACGTTCAAGCGGTGCTTCCGCCAAGGAGTACGCGGCTGATCGCTATGTCCGGAAAGATTAAAAAGCACTGGCACATCCTTTGGGCTCTGATTGCCTTTCCTGGACAGCAGCTTCCCCCACCTGTCCCTCTTTACTTTGAGCTCCGAATTGTCCTGTCTGCGCGTATCCCACGCCGGCCTGGGTTGTGTTAGAATTAGATCTTGAGTGGTTTTTATCCCATCACATTAGCTTTGGTGAGAGGGTTGTTCCTCGTTTTTCTCTTCGTCTTTTAGATGGATACCAGTTCAAATGATAAGGGATCCCCTGAAACCAAGGCGTCTGCTCTTCATGATGCCGGTATGTGGTGGTTTGCTTCCTCCTCGGTAAACCAGAGTTTCTGTACCTGTCTTGGTAATGATGCTTAGCCCCTGCAACGTGTCGTCCCTCCATTTCAGAAAACGCCTCTCTCATCTCCGGAACTGGGACGCTCAAGACGCCTCAGAAGCATGCAGCAGAAGTGACTCCTAAGCTTTGCACACCACAGACTTTTAAATCACCTTTGAACTTTTCCACAGTAACCATAGAGCAGTTGGGAATTACACCTGAAAGTTTCGTTAAGAACTCTTCAGGTAAGAGAAGCTGTCGTTCGATGGCCCTGCTTTATCAGGTTTCAAAATAAGTTCACTGTAACTCAGTTCTGTTCCTCTGTGTTTCTCATTATTGACAGCATCTAAATTGATTTACTCTACAAACTTGCTTGCTATGAGAGACTCATATGCACACGCAGGGTCATCTGGCACACAAGCAGGAACAGGGCTCGCAACACCCAGAGGGGTCGTGTTCCCAAGTCAGTTGTGCTCTTTCTCCATCCTGGGAAACTGTGCATGTGTGACTTGCTCTTTGGCCTGACACACGGGATTGGAGAAGGTGTACAATAGGAATAGCCCTGTATCTTGTGTCCACATATGGCAAACATAGGAAGCCAGAGAGCAGTTTATAACATGGACAGATTGGGCTGTGCCTGCTTCAAAGAAACTCGGGCTAAACTGTAAGCAGTAGTTATAAACCTCACCTGTAAAATGTGGCGTGAGGAAAGAAATGTGGGAATGGCATTGGATTAAAGAACAGCATTTAAAACATCACTCTTAGACTTAGAGCTGGATTCAATGTGTTATTAGGCACATGGGCAAAATTCAGAGTAGTATACTGAAAGCAAGTAGGTGTATCAGAGAAAATAGTATCTTGAAGAATTAAGAATAACAGTACAGTATTTTCTTACCTCCCATCCACTGGGGTTCCAATACCCCCAGGACATTTCTGAAACTGAGGATCATACTTAGTCCTGTATACACTGTTTTCTCATATACGTGCATACTAATGACAAGTTTAATTTACAAATTAGGAATAGTAAGAGATTAATAGCAGATTGGAATGATTACAGTAATATACTGTAATAAAAGTTATGCGAATGTTTTCTGTCTTTCTGAATATCTTATCTTTTCAAGGAAGCATATGTGAGTTGCCAGCATCATGGCTCGTAAGCTTGGGCCCATTATTAAGTAAAACACATTAACTCAAGTACTGTCAGGCTACTGATGGGTTGGAAGCGCATACAGTGTGGATAGGTTGGGTATGATTTGTGTCCTGAGTAGGATGGAACTGAATGGCACAAGATTTCATTGTATTACTCAGAATACCATGTAATTTTAAACTTCTGAATCATCTATTTTGATATTTTGCATTTAATATTTTCAGAATGGGGTGACTGCGGGTAACTGAAACAGAAAATTGATATCATGGATAAGGGAGGACTACTGTACAGTTGCCTACATGGAGCTCTTTCTGTCCTTGTGGATGACACTAATTCAGATAAGAGAAATCAAGAGGAAGCTATCACCTCCTCTGTGTGCAGGAAATACGGAACAAAAATGAAGACCAGTAAAAAAATTGTGTCCGTGTATTCATTCTACAACCTTTTAAATGAATGCTTTGTGTATTCCAGGCACAGTTCTAAGAACATAGATTAAATCATAAACAAAGATCGCTCCCCAACTGACCATGTAGGAGTACTGGTGCAGTAATTCTCTGCAGCTCTGTAGCATGTGCTTGGCGAGTTTTCTCTCAGGCTGGCTCGTCACAGGCACTGGACATGATTACTGATGATTGCTTTGTTTCGTTCGAATTCACAAGAGAGCTTCATTACAGGGAAGTCATCATCCTATCTTAAGAAGTCCAGACGACGCTCTGCAGTGGGTGCGCGGGGCTCTCCTGAAACAAACCACCTGATTCGCTTCATGGCTCAGCAGCGGGCTTTGAAGGGCACTGAGAAATCTCCTTCGGCCTGGGCCTCCCCCTTTCAGGTACGATTTCCTTCTGAGCGGAGAATTCTAGTGAAATGGGCCGTGTTCTGAAGTTTCTTTGTAGAGGTACTGAACAGAGAGAGAGACGTGGTGCAGCCCTTCTGCTTAGGTTCCAGGGAGCGAGCATTTTCCTAGTGTTACAGAGTTTTCAGCTAGTGCTGTCCAGGATGGCTGTGGGAAGAGGAGGGGGTGGCCTTGGATAGAAATGGCTTTCTAGAGCTTTCTCTTTCATTTTGCAAACTTTCCAGTTCATATTTATTTTTCTAAATGAGCTTGATTCCAATCTTATTATTTTAGTAGCACCTCTGTGTTTTTAGTGTTTTTATGGCAATATTTGTGGATGGGTAGGGGCGAAGGTCTCCCAGGACAGTGTGTACTGGGGACAACATTGTGGAAAGGAGCAGATGTTTGGCTTCTGCGTGGATGTGGTTACCTATTTCTTCAGATTTTTATCAAAATAATACAAATGAAAAAGTAAAGTAGGATAAGGCTTATTATGAAACACATATGTGCCCAGGTTACTTTTCTTAAAGGACAACAGTTTTTGGTGTTGGCCTCCCCATTTTAAAATAACTTTTAGTACCAGGGATTTTGCTTAGTGGTTCGCCACTTGCCTTGCAAGTGCAAGGACCTGAGTTCATTTCCCGGTAACCCCCACCCCAATAAATAAATAAAATAACTTTTATATCGCACTTTCTCTTTCAGTTTTAGGTATAATAGATACATAAGATAACTATTCTTAATGTTTGTCAGGCACCAAAAGGGGGCCCATTAATCCCTTTGAAGTGGTCCCTGAAGTCAAAACTATTTGTGAGTGTACTAAGATGTTATTTACTTTTTCCCCACCATGTTGATGTTTGCATTCGTGATGCAAAAACCAACAGTGCGCAAAATTATGAGCCCAAGGTAGAGGCATCAAGCTTATTGTAAGCACTCCCAGGAAATACATTTTTCTAAGTGTCCTTGAAGCACTAAAATTTTCCTAAATTCCATCCCCTGCGTATTGTATGAGGAAATGAGTGGTTGGCATCAAGCAGTGTGGCATATGGAAGTCTTTGGATGTTCCTGGAATCGCATGTGGGCCACATCAGCCGCTCTCCCTCCAGTGAAGTGTCATTTTTAGAAGAACAACCCATCGACAAATCACGGTTGGTTAGAGTTGGGAGTGCTCCCGTTTCTCCTGCTTGAACAGTGAATCTGCCACAAAAAGAGAAGCATTTCCTACCAGTGAAAACTGGCATTTCAAGGGGAAATTAGAACAGTAGGAAACATGTATCTACCACTGTGAGTTTAACAACTTCGAGATGAACTGTTTGATCAGTGGGGTGATCAGTGAGTAATATTTTGAATGTGCTAACCGTTGGAAGGTCTGTCCAACACAGTGAACCAGTATTTTCCAAAATGACCAGTGCATGTTGTTACAGTCTTACCTGGGTAACATAACCTCATGCTGCAAGGTGGGCTGATGGATTTTAACCTAACAATAAGAAGCATTCATTGATAGGATTTCATATTACAATTCACCTTTAAGAAGTCTTTGTTGAACTTTGTTAAGTTAAAGAAGAAGACTATCCATCGTTCTGCAAAGGCTATAGATACAAGTAGGTGTAACTGGCATATGCACTCTGGAGTTCTTGATTCCTAAGAGTAGGAAAGCTTCGAGATCGGCTGTCGTAACAGTTAGGAACGTGGTTGTCGAGCTGCATTGCTTGGGTTTGATTCTTGGCTTTCTCACTAATTAGTCGACACTTTTGGCAACTTGAGTTCTCTGTCTCTATCTCCTTCTGTATAAAATAGGACTGGGAGAAGATGAATGATGGGGTGTGGCTGTAGCAGTTCCTGGAATATGCACGGTACATTCGAGGCCTGCTGCTCTTACTACTTCTAAGAAAAAGGCGATTTCCCCTTCCTTCTGTCCTGTCCCTTCCTGCTCCAATGCTTCCCCCTTTCCGTTGCTTCCAGCCGTGCTCTTACCACAAGCTCACCCTCCACACCCACCCTGTGTCCTCCTTTATCCCGTGCCCAGTTTAGGTTTCATGGTCCAACAATATAAAATGGTCTTCTAAGCTTTTAAAAATTGACATAAATAAAGGTATCAGACTTGTACATAATTTCAAGAATGGATATTACAGGGTAATTTGTTTTTATAAAAGTAATTTGTAACTGCTTTGCCCCCCGCCCCATTTCACAGTACCCAGGGCTTTCAGTTTTTGTAGCTGATCTTATTCACATTTGCACCCTCCCTTCTCTTTCTTCTTTCTTTTTTTTGGTGCCGTGGACCGAACTTAGGACCTTGTGCTTGCAAGGCAGGCACGGTGCCACTGAGCTAAATCCCCGGCTACTTCCATCCATGTCTCTTAATAATGCAGTTATTTTTGTGCTTCTTACCCTTTCTGTGTCAGGCATTAGCCATTGACTTCCGGTTGGTTGTGAAGAGTTAGCCCTCTTCTGTATGCCTTGTATCACTCATTTCTTCCTTCCAACATTGTTATTCTGAGCTGTCTTATTCCAAGCTGGATTTTCTTCTGCATCATCTTTTTTGTTGCTGTTTTGATTAGTTTTAGTTTTGGTTTTTTGGTACCAGGGATCGAACTCGGGCCCTTGATCTTGCAAGGCAGGCAGCGGAACCACTGAACCAAACCCCTGGCCCTCTTCTGCATCATCTTACCATTCTTTCTTCTGCGTCACTTCCCAGACCCCTGGCTCCTAACCCTTTTCCCGGCCCCCATCAGGACAGAACTCTGAACCACTTGTGCGCTGGCTCCATCCATTTCTCCCCCCGCCCACCTTCTCCGCTGCTGCCAGCCACTCTACCTGGGCTTTTGTTTTGTTGCTGTGTGAAGAAGACTTGATGACAAATGGCCTGTACTTTGACAACTCCACAGATTTAATCTAAGTGTAACTTTGCCCAGCCTTATAGCAGCTTTGGATGTGTTTGGCCTCCTTAAGACAGTTCCTTTGCTTTGTTGTGGGATTCCATGCTAGTCGATTTTCTTCTGTTTTATTTAGTAATTATACCTTTCTCCAGTTTTCCTCTCAGAAGTGCTGGTGTACCCAGGGCCCTCCAAAGCTTCCTCCTGTTTGCCTCATACCCCTGTAGACTGACAGCCCTGGGATGTCTGTCTTCAGCCCGCACCTCCTCGGGGCACCAGGCCTCAGTCCCAGCTGCCTGTTCAGTAGCTCCCTGGGATGTTTAAGTAGCCCCTTCCCAGACCCCTGCCAAGACGTCCCGCATCCAGCTTGCCGCTGCCTCACAGCTGCATATCCAGAGCCTGTCTAATTCCTCACCTGCCCCAGCTGCTCTGCTGCAACTCCAGTGTGATTCCCCCCACCTGGGAGAATCCCCTCACTTTCCTCTTTCCCCAAGCTGCCCCCCATCGCACAGATCAGAGAGATGTATTCAGAGTATAAATCAGGTCAGTGCCTGCACTGCAGAAACTCCCGTGGCTTCTGTCGCACCTTGATGCGGACCCAGACCTGTCCCAAAGCTGCCTGCACCCCTTGGCGCTCTGACCCCTGCCCACCTCAAGCCTCATCTCGTCTGCTTCATCAGTGGCCTGCTGGCCTTCTTTCTGCCTTCACATTTCCACCGAGGGCTCCTGCCCTGTTCTGGTTCTCATAAAATGCCTTCTTCTCAAGCCACTTTCTCGTAAAGTTCTTCTCGTTGTGACATTTCAGACCCAGGCATTGCTCCACGTGGTCCTTCCCGGCCCTCGCTCGGGTCACTTCAGTGGCTCTCACGGCCGTGTTTGCCTGTCCCGTAGCCTCTCTTCTACCTGAAGCCACCCTCGTGTTCACAGAACAGCTCTGGAACGTAATTCCCCCCGGTTCTCAAGCCCTGGAAGTTTCTGGGACACAGAAGGAGTGTTGGCTGACAGACACAGTTCATGAGACGAGAACATCAAAAAAGCTATGCATTTTCAGTGTTTCATTTCCTTGTACATGAGCATCATTCTTGTCCTCTAGCAGGAAATAACGAAAAAGCAGTTTTGACCGGGGAAACTTAAGTTTATTTTAAGCAGCATTTCAAAGCGTGCCTTGTTCCTAGGATATTACGCTCACCCTAACCATGTCCAGTTATGAGTGTGCAAAATGTAAGAGGCTCTGCTGCCCTAATTTCCTTGCCTCTGGTCTTCAAAAAGCCTCTGCACAAGAGCACACTTTAGGTAACGTAGGTGCCTCCGAGAGCCTTTCCACTGCTGCTGTGGGCGAGCTGCCCGGCCATCTGTGAATCCTAGAGCCACCTATGTCGTAAAGAGTTGCATCATCAGGCATATCAGAGTCTAAGACGGTCTGTAATTATGTAACAGACTTAACTGGGAATAGAATCAGATACACCAGATCATCAATCATGACTTCATGTTTTTAACTGCTTCTTAAAAAACCTGTTAACTTAAAAGAAAGTAATTTTTTTACTTTCCCTTTGCCCATTGGTGTGAATTTTAAACTTGCCGCAAGGTCCCTAGAAATATGTTAGTAGTCCAAGTGACAAAATCTGGATAGAGGACTTAATCAGTAATTGATTTTTTTATTTGAACAGAACCATTAAATTTGACATTACTTGTCTTTATCAGGCCCTCCTGTCCCTAAAAGAAAGTTTATTAATCTTTGCCTCACACCTGTGAATAGAGTTTCCAGAAAATGCCTGTGCTTTATTCCCTCTGGCTTTTTATTTTAAATGAATCGATTGGCTGTCGATCCTAAGGAAATAAGTGTCCTCTGGGTCCCATAGAATCAGGAAAAACTAGCCAGGAAGAGCCGGAAGTAACGTGAGAAGCCAGCGGCAGAACTTGTGTATCTTGCTTTGGCCCCTGGGTCTCCACCCAGGTGTGGTCTGAGGTGCATGGAGACAATTTGGGTTGCAGCAGGTGGGCTGAGACTTACTTCGTGTGGCAGAGGTGCTGTCACGTGACTCCGGTGGTACTGCCAGCACACGTGTGGTGAGATTTCCGATAAGCAGATTCCGCCTGCCTCTTCCTGGCCCCGTCGTGGGGATTCCACGTATTCTCTGTGCCCTCCGTGTGATCTTGCAGGATGGCTTCTCTCAAACACTCTTGTGCTGAACTTTTGCCCTTCAGATTTGATTGCTGAGGCTCTCGGGTAATGGACCCGAAGACATGAAAGCAAGAAAGGCCTTTAAGCCCATTGGAAAACAGAGTTCTTTGTGCCAAGAAACCGGGATGCATTGGTGTCTGGGTGCATTTTCTACTATTCCGGGCTTCTCTCGTCATGATCCATGGGGCTGTAAGTTTCTGAATTAGCCACATATAGCTCTACATGTATTGGTATCACTCAGCTTTTCCTCTTCGTTCAGGCTTTGCTAAAAATTGTGGGAGGAGCAGAGGAGAAACTAAGATGATTATGGACACCAATATTCAGGTAGAAAATGTGTATTTCCAGGGAGAAGAGGCTCTGCTACGCTAATGCATTACCTGGGGTCTTCAGAGAGCCTTTCTGGATTTAGTGTTGGATTCAGTAATTACAGGCCTGGAATATAGGAACTATGTTTGACTTATGTCCTCCTCTGTTTTTGTACTTTAACAGGGCAGCCCTGGGGTGAATCAAAATGTTAATTCACTAAGAGAGCGAATGTCTGCTTTCCAGTCAGCTTTTCACTCCATCAAGGAAAGTGAGAAAGTGTCTTCCTGTCCAGAAACCTCAGACGCGGAAGAAGGGTCTGAGGTGACAGGCTTAGGTGAGCACAAAGAATTCACTCAGTGTTGACTTCTGTGTTTAGAAAGACAAGCTTCCAAGATATGATAAAGGTTTAATTCCACGGTGCAAATGCAGTCTTTTCAGAGCACAGCTGTACCCGTAAATGGAGACCAACATTTGAAAATTGGCACATTTCACACTAAACTCTGGATTTCTGGGTTCTTTTGGAAAAAACCTTCATTTCTACATAGTTAAAATTGAGTTGTAAGTTTTAAAAAGTCAGAGCTAATTAGAACATTTCCCCTTTAGAATAAATGTGGCAAATTAGTTTACAAATGTTGATTTTTGCAGAATTACTGTTAAGTTTGTCAAACAATTATGCAAATACCAGATACAGTACCCAACACTGATGTTAACCACAAATGTACACGGCTTAATATTGTAAAAGTCTGCTGCTGTATTTTTTTACTCTTAGATTGTGGTTCACTTGGTTATATTTTTTTAGTCATTTTGGACGTTTTTTCAGTTACAAAGTACTTCAAAGCCCTGAACCCCACACAGTCGTGTCCTACCGCAGTCAGTTATGAGCATCCCTCTAGTACTTCACACTCCTTCACATTCCTTAAACCCTCTTCAGTTCATGTCAAAGCTACTTGTAGTACACTGGTAACCCAAGGCAGCTGACTGCCTCAGGACCTAGTGAGATGTCCTAATTTGTATTTGCAGTTTCTGACTTACCTATTATTTCGATTTTTACCTGGGTTTTAAAAATGATTTTATTTGCATCATTATTATAATTCTGCAGATATTGAATTTCATTTTGTAGCTAGCTAGCAAGGACTGAAGCACAGTGTAGTTGTGTTGTTTCACAAAAATCATTCGCAACCATGGTAGAATAGTATTAGAACACAGCCACATCCTTTATTCAAAATACAAGGGTTTGTAGTAAGTTTAAAAAGAATAAGGATACCACATCAGAAATGCAAATGTATTTTAGTGTATTTTTATGCATACTAAGGCGAGAAACCCCTTAATTTTATTTTTTATTTTTATTCATTTATTTATTTATTTTGGTTTTTTGAGACAGGGTCTCACTACATAGTTGAGACTGACCTGGAACTCACTATGTAGCCCAGGCCAGTCTTGAACTCACAGCTATCCTTCTGCCTCAGCCTCCCGAGTGCTGGGATTACAGGCATACGCCGCCAAACCTGGCCAATTTTTATACTTTTTTTTTTGGTGGTCCTAGGGATCAAACCCAGGACCTTGCACTTGCCAGGCAGGTGCAGTGCCACTGAGCTAAATCCCCATCTTGAAAAACCTTAATTTTAATAATTAATCTTATTATTATCATTTTATTAGTCATTTTTCTTGCCTTTCTGTTGTTTCCATTTTTTAGTAAACAAAGGTAACATTTTTTCATTAATAAAACACATGCACTAAATTTCCCTAATTTTATTACTTTTTAAACAACACTGTGGCAGGAAATGTTTGTTATGTCATTTCATTTTCAATTTGTTTTGTGCCTATAGCCAACAAGAAAGGTCGAGGCGGAGGTTGGCAGCCGGGATTTCCTGGAGAGTTTTCCTCGAAACGCCGGAAGATATCCTCAGAGAGCAGCTCTGAGGATGGGCTCGGCCGCGCAGGGGGCTCAGGGGTGGATACACAGACACCCAGGGCCCAAGTGGACACAGTGCACGCTGCTGGCACCTCTGCAGCTCCTCCTGAGGTGATTGTTTATTTTCTATGCAGAAAAACGGAGCTTTGAGCCTCTGCATAGGCAGCTGAAGGCGGCCTGGGTGTTTCTGTAGTATTCTGCCCTATCATGGCTGGGGTTTTAAGTCATCTCTTTGCGTGCATGTGTGGTGTGTATGTATTTGAATTTTATTGTTTTCGGTTGGTTTCATACTTAGTGGCAAGTTTCATACTTAGTAGCAAGTTTTGATAGATATGAGGCTTTGGACTCCCAGTCTTCTGAAAAAAAAAAACTTGAAAAGATTTGGGCCTGGGATCTTCCAGCTCTGGTCCTGATGGTTGTTGATGGTTGGACAGTGAATTCAGCTAATTCCTGCCTGGTGGTGAAGGCAGGCATGTGACCAGATAAACATCCGCAGAGGCGCTCCAGAGTTAGAGCCTCAGCTCTGGGGAGTGGGACACCACACAGCAGTTCTCCTTGAGAACTTCTTTCCATTGGCGTTAGGAGTTTTTGTGGCTTCTAGTCAGGATCCCCGCGAGGCAGCAATGAACATGAATTTTACTAACTTTTCCTGTTCCGTGCCCTTGCTCTGGTTTGACACAGTCCCCTCTTCCTGGTGACACTAGCCGACACTGTACAGTGAGCAGTGAGCACTGTGTCCTGTACCTTCTCCGCCACCTAGATCCAGGACATGAGTAGCATAGTACATGAACCATAGTCAGTGGAAGGGAGCCCAGGATTTTCTGTAGCCCAGAGTTGCAATAACTCACACTCTGCTTTGTTGGAGTTTCATGAGGTCATCATCGGACAAAAGCAGTAGTCATTGTTTCTTATCAGATCTATGATTCACTGGACCTACACCAGGATATCGAAATGACTTCTGTATTATAATAGATGTTTTCTACCCTAACCATTAAATGTCTCTCCTGTCCTAGCTATTGATATATTTTGGTATTTGGTTAAACACTGTACAGCACTTCAGTGAATTTCCTCCTCAAAGGATAGCAGATGACATGGCTTGAGTAGGCAACAAAACTATGTCCCTTCAGCTTTTCCTAAGGGGTTGAAAGTTGTTTTGTGGACATTGAGGTTACACTTGGGATGAAAACTCCATTCTTAGATTCCTGTATATTTGAGTTTGCTAGCTTATGTTGCACCAGGCGGCCTTGAGTTTGTGGCCATCCTCCTGCCTCTGCCTCCTGAGTGCTGGGATTATAAGCATGTACCAACATCTGGCTTTGGTAGATTTATGAGGGTGACTGAACACCTGATTTCCAGTTAATCCATAAACCCGTCCAATCTGCATAAAGGTATTCATAATACTATAAATAATGAAATGTAATGCCCCTTTAAATGTTTTTCCCCAAGAAATCACCTGAACATGGTCTAACCCAGTCTGGATGTGTAGTTGAATCTGTTCCCAGTGCAGCGGTCACAGAGACTTCAAGTGGTAAGTTTGTATTTTTCCTCACTTACCTTTGCTGGTTGCCCCATTTGGTGTTGTAGACATTTAAGATTTCCACACTAATACACTCAAATGTGAGAAAACTAAAATGATTCCCTACCTTTTAGGAGCCCTTGACCCAGCAGGCATGTTTTGGAATTAGTGTTAAGTGAACAATAGTTTCTTCATTGAACTGCCCTCAGTAAGAATCAGCAGGAGAGGCCAGGAATTTAGCTCAGTGGTTCTGCCTCCTGCCTTGCAAGTACAAAGTCCTGAGTTTGATCCCCAGTACCAAAAAAAAAAAAAAAAAGAATCAGCAGAATATTTCCAAGCTGATAGAAAGAGTAGAGGCTACAAATATATTAGCAGGTATATTTTGTAAGAGAAACACTACACATAATTTCTTTCCTTGTTTTTGTTTTGTTTTTGTTTTTGGTCCCGGGGATCAAACTTGGAGGTCCTTGTGCTTGCAAGGTAGGTGGTAAAACCACTGAGCTAAATCCCCAGCTCCTCTTGTTTTTATTTTTAAATGTGTAAAAGGGTTTTATGAAATTACTCATCTTTTCCTCCAATCATATGCTCACACTGAGTGAAAGTTGCTTAGCAGATGTTAGGTTTGCCTTTATCTTGCCTATGTGTTTAAGGTAAAACTGTTGCAGACATATAGTAGGATGTTGCTTTTTTTTTCATCCATTTTGGTATTTTGCCTTTTTTTTTTGCCTCTTGATTGTAGCTGTATAAGGTTCTTCACTCCTTCCCAAAGATTCAAGTTTCCTTCTGGAATTTTGTTTCCTTCAGCCTGAAAAAGTTTCTTGAGGTGTTTTTGTTTGTGTTTTGTTTTTGTAGTAAGCGTCTGCTCTGAATGTCACTTTTGGTCCTGGCGTATATGGGTGGATGCCTGCTTGCCTGCATGGAGAGGGCACAGAGCCAGCTATGAGTCTGTCACCATGACAAAATGAGGCACTCTTGCCTTCTTCTGGATCATCTTTGCCTTGTTCTCCTGTAGCTTTTCCTAAGAGTGACATCCTTTCATAATAGTTATGGACTGTATGAAGTGTCATTAAAAATGGTCGTGTCACCAGACACCTCACTCTAGGTATCTGTCTGAAGTGGTGACATCATAAGGGCTAAAATCCATTCAAGCCTCCCATTAAGCCCTGTCTGGAAAAAGATGTGACGAGAAGGAATGGGTGTGCCGTGGGTGAGGGCGCTTTGATTAACAGAGTCTAGAGCAGGCTCCTGTGCTGTAAGCTGTCTGGTTATTTGGTGTCTCCAGATGGAGCTTATTACATATCAGAGCCTTTGGGGAAGGGTCAAAGTATCTTTGCAGTGGGACAGAAAGTCCTTTTGAGGAGGAACTTAGGAAGGAGGCTACCATGACACCTCCCACCGCTCCCTGGCTCCCCTTCGCTCATCCAGCCGGAAGTCCAGTCCAGCTCCGTGCCTGCTGTGGAGCTGCTGGGAGCGAGGCCTGTGGTCCGCACCAGCCTCCCTCACACGGCTCAGTGCTGCCCATGGCCCTGCTGGTCATGTGTCACTTCACGCTCTCGCACCTCCTCTTTCTCGCCATGTTTCCCACACTCCTTGCTCACTTCTTTGAAAATTTTAGATACTTGCACTTTCTCTTATAAACAGTAATTTTTAACGCAAGCGTATCGCACAGTATTTTCAGGGTCGAAGTTCATGTGCATAGAATTGTGGTTTGACTGATGCAGAACCCTTGGGTCTGGAGGGCAGCTCTGGTCTGGTTTGACCACCTTTTCCTTCATCGCCTTCTCTCATTCCCACCACCTCTCCATATTGAACTTCAGTGGCAAAATTGCTTATTACTCCCTGTGGGGCTTCTGTTAAGTGTTGTGGTGTGGCTGATACATATCACGAGGATGGACAGATCAGCAGTGTCGCTCGTTCATACTTTCTTCCGGCCTTTGACCTAGATTTCTGTGGAAGTCAAAATTTCTTCCTTCCATTTACCCTAAATAGTCAGATTTGAATTAAAAATCATAAATGCCCCTTCTCTGCCTTCTCTTTGTATCCCAAGTGAGACCCCAGGTTTTACTCCCTGGGCAGCGTGGATTAGGGTTGAATTGCTATTACCTTTGGAAATGCAGCAAGTGTTTTTGGTCCAGAGCAGATGCATTTGGATGTCTTCAGCCTCACGCTCGAATGTTGTCTTTCAGGATTCGAGGTTGCAGATTGCGGGGTGGGCACAGGATCCAGTGATGCTGATCCGCTCACCACACCGCCCACGGGGGTGAGTGGGGCCGCGGTCCCCGAGGGCGGGTCACCACCTCCTCCCGTGTGCAGGAGGGAAGTTCCACCCGCTGAGACCTTTGTCCTCCGTTCCGTATTGAAGAAACCTTGTGTGAAGCCGTGTCTACACAGCCTGCAGGTGAGAAAAGTTACATTACCTAAAACAAACGAGTAAAACTTTATTTTGCTTCAAAGCAATACCTCTGAAATAGCATACATATCATCTGGCATAAAGGGGAATGGAATGTCTTACTCTATATTTTTCTCTATGTTTTTTCCTCTACTTTTCTCATAGCACTGGGTGAAATTTCTTTCTTGTTCTTTTCTTTTCTTTTCTTTTCTTTTTCTTTTTCTTTTTTTTTTTTTTTTTTTTTTTTTTTTTTTTTTTTGTACTAGGGATTGAACTCGGATCCTTGTGCTTGCGAGGCAGGTGGTGGAACCACTGAGCTAAATCTCTGGCTCTCTTGTTCTTTTTTTTAAAGTATGATATATAATGTGCAGTTTGTTTTTTTTGTTTTGTTTTGTTGTGTTTTTTTGGTGTGGGGAATGAACTAAGGACCTTGCACTTGTGAGGTGGGCACAGTGCCACTGAGGTAAATCCCCAGCCCTGCAGAATTTAATATAAGTAGTTTCTAAGAGGCTTGTCGTCTTAATTGTACTGATCCATCGCATTGACAGAATTATATTTCAGTAATGTAATATGATTATAAAGCGATAATAATTACTCATAATAATGTGTCAGTCTGTTACCTATCTGTCCATCCAAACTCTTTGGTCTTACTGCTTCTTAAAGCCAAGCTTTTTTCTGTCAGCTGAACTGATAGGAGAAAAGAGGAAGCTAATGGAAAGTAGGTGGCATTTATTGAGTGTTGTCTGTCTGTCGTTTTGGCACGTGTGTGGCAGCAGTTCTCCAGAACAGGCGTTGGCCCTGTCGGCCTGCATTTGGGCCTGCAGTTTGTTCAGGGCACCCAGTAAGGAAGGCTGCTCGGTTTCACCACAGACTGAGCTCTTGAGGGCTGCAGAAGAGAAACTAGAGCAGAGTGCCTGGTTTCAAGGCTTGGAAATTTAATTGCTGGGCAAATTAACCTTTTTGTGCTCCGGTTTCCTTGAGTGTGAGAGGATAACATTAATAAGTATCTTATAGAACAATTTGAGCGTTAAATAGGATAATAGTATGACATTAGCACCAGTGTGTGTCATGTCAGAAATACAAATCTTGTTTTTAAACCATAGCATTTTAATATGCAACTGTGTATAGAGAGCCATCTGTCGAGGCAAAACAAAGTCGGTTACCTTCTACCTGTATGGATAATTGATGATCACTTGCTGTTTTAAATGTTTTAACACCTGTTTTAGCTGAAAAAGTGACTGGGATTTCTGATATGTGTAGCGGTACTTACTTATATTTTATCTTTTCCTAAAAGAGACTTAATGTTTTAATAGCTCTTGCTTGTTAACAGTATTGCTTCTTTTTTATAAATAATAAGAGCATGGCACAGCAAACATCAAGTCCAGGCACTGGAGTCGCAGAATTTTGTTTACAACTGATGATCTTTTTTTTACTAAGCTGGCCAAAAGTAAAGTTCTCTACCAGTTTTTATGGTGGTTTTAATTAAAAATAAATCTAAAAACAACCATGAACTATCATAGAAGTTAACGTATTTCGAGTACATATTGCTATATGTGATTTTCTGGTGAGGAGAAAGAACCACCTTGGGAGAGAGAGCAACTTCAGGAGGGCTGTTTGGACGACTGTCTCTTAGGCCGGTGCTGTTACTGCAGTGGGTGTAGTGGAGAGAAGGAGTGGCTCTTGGGAACACGGCCTGAGCAGGACGTGCAGATGAGCGTGGATAAGTAGGTGGTGGGGGGAGGGGCCTGTAATCCACTGCCCTGGCCTGCCGTCCTCTGCTGAGCGCCAGTGGCTCTGTGCGTGCGAGCGAGCCCTGTCTGTCCTCAGGGTTTGCAGTCTCCCAATTTAGATAAACGCACAGGGACAAAATCTGGAATGTGGTACTATAGACAGGAAATTTAAACACCTACCAAAGGTGTACTTCCCACATTGCAAAGAGAAAATGACCTTGTTATATCTGTTACCTGTTTGGTTTCTTTTTTCTTTCAGTGCAGTTTTTACACTTCGGCCCACTTAAGTGGTCTGCCCCATCTGACACCAGCTGTAGGGCTCTATGAGTCTAGCCACTGGCCTTCTCCTGCACTTCCTATGCTAGATCAGAGAGGCGGTGAAATTAGCCCATATTTATGGAGTTCTGTTCTTTAGTTTTGCCCTAAAATACTATTTTACTAAAGTAATATTTAGAGAACGTAGTTTTTATTTGTGCCTATTATAATGTTTTAAGCCAGAACCATTATGAAAATAAAGATAATGTCTAGTGCTGCAATATCTGCCCTTTGCTGAAACAGTTCAGAATTGCCCTTTTTATGACTGTGCTTTTATGTCTGTAGATAGGATTATTCCCAATATTTGTTTTGCTTAGGAGCACTATAACAACTTCTGTGATGATGGGATGCATCCAAGCTTAGCTTCAAATCTTTTAAACTGTTGCAAAGAACAAAAATCAGGTAAGAAATTCATATTTACCTTTATGCCTGAGGATAGCATTTTCTGGTTAAGAAAATCTTGTATATCAGATTTTCAGTAGTCCGCTTCTACTTTGATGCTTATGCAGTTACATGGAAATGAATAATTGGGGAGATAGAATCTCTTTGGAGAGCCTCAGAATTGGTACAGGGCATTAACGGAACCTTCTTGAGCTTGAATTCCCAAACTGCAAACCCCAAACCCACTTCTGTATCACAGAGTGCCGACGTGGCCATTAAACCTGGATATCGAGGGCTTGGCTGCTGGGGCAATGCCGGGTGACTCTGCTCAGGGGCCGACAGAGAGGCTTTGCATGCCCACTGTGGCGCGCGTGCCATGGGTTCGCTGCCACTAGTCTAGGGCCTGGGGGTAGCTCAGTGGTTAGAGGACTTCACCAACATGCATGAGCCCTCGGCTCTGCCCCCAGCACCAAAAACCAAAAAAGATTTGGTCTGCTTCCCCTTACCATTTTTACTTAATTATAGACCTGTTAATAGTTTCAAATATTTATGCAAAATCTAATCCATCTTTTAGCTGGAATGTTGCTTCTCTCTTCCAGTTTGAATTTGCTCTACAAACTCTTTTTTTTTGTGGTCGGGGGGTGTACCAGGATCAAACTCTGGCCCTTGTGCTTGTGAAGCAGGCGCTGGAACCACTGAGCTAAATCCCTGGCCCTACAAACTCTTTTTTTATTTTACAAATAATAGTTTAATAGCTTATCATGTTAAAAGATTTCAGTGTATGTTCTTTACGTAAATACACCATGTTGTTGTTTTTTTTTTTTTTTAAATCCCCGTTTGTTCTCTATAGATGATGAAGAAGATTGTAATGTGCCCACTTTTCTGAATCTGAGGAAGAGGAAGAGAGTTACTTTTGGAGAGGAGCTAAGCCCGGAAGTGTTTGATGAGTCTCTGCCCGCTAATACCCCACTGCGGAAAGGAGGGACACCTGCCCGTCAGAAGGACTCCAGTAGGCTCAGTCCCCAACTTCCAGAGGAGTCACCAGTGCCTGAGCCTCTGCCCCAGCCAGATTTCGATGACAAAGGGGAAAATCTTGTAAGTGGGAAAGCCTGGAATGACCTGGCTTACGTTTTCATCAGCCTCTCCTTTCAAGAGCAGGAATGATCTTTTGAAATCATGAGACGGGCCAAATGACATGCCGTGTTTTAAGTAAATCTTTATAGTTTTTTTTACCACTTTTCCCTATTTCAAGCAATACTTCCACAATGCCTTAGATGTAGCATATTTCGTGAAACCTAAATACTGTGAATTGTAAGACATACTGTTGTTTTATGTATTATTAAGAAAAAGTGCTGAAAATTAAGCACATTTATGAATTGTACAATATACTCAGATTTTAGAGACATTAAAATATAACAAAGCAATCATCTTTCAATTGAAGTACTACAAAAATTCCTGTATTTTCTGAAATGAAAAAAATTGTGCTTTAAAAAAATACTGGTAAAGCTGATCTGACTAATTAGGGAAAAGGGAGAGAAAAATTACCAAGATCCCCAATCAAAATAAGTCCTTATCATTTTTTCTTTGGGGCACATTATTTATATGCTAACTGAATTTAAAAATATCTAATTTCTGCTCTTTTATTTCCTTTAATTAGGAAAACATAGAACCACTTCAGATATCTTTTGTGGCTCTGAGTCCTAATAAATCTTCAGTCTCTGAGACTCTTTCAGGTATTAATTTTGTTTATATTATTATAAAGTCCTCTTCAATATGTTAAACTTAATTTTGGGGGGTACTGGGATTGAACCTTGCGCTTGTGAGGCAGGCAGTGGAAGCACTGAGCTAAATCGCCTGCCCTAATCTATTTTTTTAAAAGTCTTATTACTGCAGCAATACGGCACGCGTGGTTTATAGACCTATGACTGCTGTAGTTTAGAAAAGCTTAGGAGAGGTTGCGTGTCCATTTCTTCCCATTCCACATCCCTTCCTCCAGAGACCCGCAGAAGGGCACCCCTGTTTCAAATTGCCATAAGCAGAGATCCTAACCACAGTCTGCACAACTGAAATGATTTGGATTGTAAGGATCATTCTTCAACATCAAAATTTTTCACAAACCTTCACATGGCATTTTTGGCCTATGTTCTTTCCAAGGACATCTAGCTTTTATGAGCATGACAAAACAGTAAAGATTCTTCCCAGCTTTCCTAACAGACTTAGCTGACAAATGTCACGAAATGGGCTCCTGAGATGGGAGCTTTTGTTCGTGTATTTTCCTGGAGTAAATAACTCCTTGCTGACAAAAGCCAAGGTTAGAGCACAGAATCCAAGCTAGAGCCAAAGTTTGAAACATAGTCTATTACATTGCAAAGTCTGGTTTCAAACTCATTATACTGTGTTTCATTTACACCATACAAAGCCATCGATAAAATTACCTAAACTTTATAAAATTTTAAATAAAATATTTTTATGGTCATCATCATGCCATTACTGCAATTTCATTGTATAAAATATAATTTGGAATTAACAGGCTTCTGAAAATACATGCATTTATTGTAGTATGATGTATGTGTACAAGTATTGTCATATGATTTAGTCTGTTGTCTTAGCATGATAAGTAGTCACCTTGGAAAGTGGTGAAAATTTCTGATATTTAGTAAGCTCAGCATTTTCTAAAAACATATTTGGATTTCTTACTAATTATTTATGTTCAAGTATGATGTTAAAAACAAAAGTAAATATCCAAAAAACTGTCCAGTATTTCCAGATGACAGTGCACGTTACAGTTTTGTCAGTCACCTGATTTTTCCTGTTTCTTGCTTATCAGGAACTGAAACCTTTAGTTCTTCAAATAATCATAAGAAAATATCCTCTTGTAAAGCAGGTAGACTAACACGGACTTCTAACAGAAGAAATGTAAGTGTTTATATTAAACCTTATATTTTTTTCTATTTTCACGATTAAATTTAATAGATAAAATGTGGCTTGATCAATGTCATTAAGAATTAATACCTAGGGCTGGGGAATTAATTCAGTGGTGCCGCCCCCTACCTCTCAAGCTCAAGGTCCTGAGTTCGATCCCCGGTACCAAAAAATAGAATTAATACCATATCCTAACAGAATTATGTTTAAATGATTTGATATTAATTAATTATTTTAGAAGAAAGATCCACTGAAACAAGATGCTTTCAGACTTGCGTTGGAAGAAAATCTGTTTGAAAAGTTTGAGTTCTCTGATCTTCACTGAGATGCACATGGAGATCAGCATATAATTAATGAAATCCCAAATGACATGAACACTATCCTTTCTTAACACGTTCCTGCCCAGTTGAACCACCAATGAGTGGTACATGAATGTCTATCCCATCAGGCAGCTTGTACCACTGGTGGTACAAAAGAATGTAATCACTTGTAATCATCTTTCTACTAACAGAATTAATAAAAAAACCACCCAGTGGGACAGTCACACATGTACCACTGGTGGCTCAAACCACCCAGCAGTGAAACATACAAATTATGGCCTTGTCACAAGCATGTTAAACTGTGCTTCTAACTCTTTCAACTGAGAATGTGTGTCTTTTGATATTAAATTAGGTAACATTGAATTTTTGTCTGTGATCATAGCATATAAACATACATTTTCGTAGGGCTTTTAGCTGGTATGGTTGTTTATAAATCCCAAATTCAAAACCTTGATATGATAATATAACCATTCATGATTTTCTTTCCTGTAACTCAAAAACAGGTACTAAATTATTTGTTTTCCATAAATATTTGATACATGAATAAATCAACTAATTCTTAAATTTCTTTCTTGGTAATATAATTGGGTCGTATCCCTATGCTTCTGGATGTGTTTGATAGATCAGACATTGATAAATACCACTTCCCTTGTTTGAGTTTTGGTTCAAATGCCTCTGATGGAATCAGTGAGTTAAGAACCACAAGATGTGAAATGGTAGCTCATCATAGGAAGGACAGCAAACGTGAGAGCTGTATTTTGAGTTGTGATCACTTGCGCTTTGTGGACCTGAACCTTAAACTTTCATTACAGCAGTTGACCAGTTTCTCAGAAGAGAATGTTTGCAACTTATATAATGTAGAAGCTCAGCCTTATAAAGAAAAGAAAGTTAATAGGAAGTGTCAAGACACCAGGTGTGCAAACAGAGCAGTTTCTAAAAAGAAACAGGTAAGTGTGTTTAAAGATACTCTGTGAGCTTTAGTGTATTTCTTCATTGTATGATAAAGCAAAAGGAGACAAATTTATCCCAGTTCATGGTGGACCAGGATTACTAAAGTAAGTCGTCTTATTCTAGAGTAGGATGGGCCTTAAAAGATTTAGACTCAACTGTTAGCCATGAGAGGGACAGAGTTGCTTCCGTCTCATCTCTGTGTGCCCCATTCAGCACAATAAATAGGAGACACTCAAATATGAGATGGTTTCTCACCTTTGAGTCTAAGCAACGTTTCATCCTAAGGGAATCCTCCCTAACTTTTTTGCTAATGTTTATGATCCCAGGAAGAATACACTATCAGTCAGAGCCACATGCATGGGTGTTTTCACCAGTTGTCGTCTAGCTGCGTTGCGGAGCATGGCCCATGCACTCATCTGTGCGCCATCCATCGAACAAGGCAGCGGCCCTGTGTGGCCAGCTTCACATCACCTTCTTTTTCAGGCTTGGCTCTCGTCCCAGTCTTGAGTGATAGAGACTTTCCAGTAAAGCCCAGGCTGTTTTCATTTGATGTCCTTTGCTAGTTCTCTCACGACGTGTCCCACCTATTGCATTTTGTCCAGTTCATAGTCGTCAGACTTGGCCTGCTGCTTGCGAGGGGAACAAAATAATCTCCAGTAGTTAGGATAGCCAGTGCAGGCCTGGTGTTCTGTGAACAGCTGCCCACAGAAAAGCTTTGCCAACTCCCGAGCTGCCAGCTCCTCTAGGGTGGGCAGCCGCGTGCCCTGGCCCGATGGCAGGAGCCCTGCCTGGTGAGGCCTTCAGCCCTGCCTTCCTGAGCTTCCCCTTTGTGATCTCTGATGACGGCCACAGCTCCCATGGATGTCTTGATTTCTCAGGCAAGGATGAATGCTGCTTTTCACCTTTTCTTCTCATTGTAACATCACTTCTGTCTATATAAGAAACAAATCAGAATCCAGATCTCAGCCTTCCTCACTACTTGCGTTCATCTCGGATGCCTTTGCTACCTGTGTGCTTAGCCCAGCCAGCACCTTAGCCCCGTTCCTCTCCCCCGTCCTCTTCATGGAGCCGTCATCTGGCCCCTCTGAATGCTCTCGAACTCTCAGATCCTGTGTCTCATAATTGTGTTTCTGTCTTCATCCTGAACTATTCGCTCTGTCCCCACAACTCTTCAGCAGTCTCAGCTCTGCGTATCCTTTTCTTCTGCCCTTGGCCCACCAGCAGAATTTCAGTTCTGGATTAATTGTTACCCCCTGCCATGTAACATCACCACTGCAGAGGTGCACGTAGGTAGGGAGGATAGTACTACAGTGGAGTCCTGATTTCAGACATCTGAAGTTTGGTCTCATTTTTCAGTACATTGCCACTTTGGTTTAATTATTTTTCAGTGAATAATTTTGTTTTGCTACCAGGAATTGAACTCGGGACCTTGCATGGGTGAGGCAGGCAGCAGCACCACTGGGCTAAATCCCCAGCCCTGCATTGAGTAATTTAATTACTAAAATTCATGTCCTGTTCTTCCTTGATATCTCAGCAGCAACTGACATGATCAGTCATTCCTGTACAGTCTGTTAAAAGTTGACTTCTACCCACCCTTTACTGTTTGTATTCCCTAGAATTCTTTCCTTTTAAAATTATTTTCTGGGTGTTATATCCATCATGATCAGTGACCAGTTTTGAAGAACACATCTTCCTGATTGAGCAATAGACTTGACATCTCTGAAACCATCCTATAATTCCAAAATCAGCATTTCCCAATCAATTCATCAATTTCACCACATAGCATTTCAAAAATTTCCATTCTATATGAAATTAAATGAAAATGACTGTTTTTTTGCAGTGGAATAGTACAGGTATCCTTGAGTCATCAAATTGAGAGGAAACTGAATTTTCCTGGTTCCCTTTATAAGATCACACTTTTAATAAATCGATAAAAGATCCTCTTGCTGAACAAATACATATAAACTCAAAGGTCTGTGTAAAATTTATTCCATTCGAAACTGATTTCCTTCATCTCTACACCTTAATAAACACGGCTACAAAAAATGCACACCTATTTCTTCATATCAGATTGGTGGTCAGAAAGTCCAAGAAGGACAGAGGATTAGATTGCTCCAACTCCTTCTAGGACCCTTGCTGAATTAATCTAGTTTATGTAATAAGAAGAGACTTAAAATAGCAGTGCGATGAGGAGGGGTATTACGCAGCAGAGGACAGCCTTCAGTGAATCTCTAGAAGACAAAGCAGATGGGAGCACACTGACAGAAGAGGTGGAAGATTTACAGCTCAGAATGTGCTAGGAGGGAGCTAGAGGGATCTGGGAACCAGCCTGCCTGTTGGAATCCCAAGAGACTCTGGGCGCAGCATTGGCAGGTACACTGGCTGGTGAGAGTGAGAAGTACTGAAAAAGCAGAGATTTTTGGAAATCGTGTGTACGGAACAGTTTGCAGCAGTTGGCTTGCCACCCCCGCTCCCGCACTGATGCTCAGAACAGATGTCGTCATCTAGGCTGAAGGTGCCTCACCCTGCTGTTCAGAAAGTCCCACAGTCTTGACAGCTAGCTCTCAACCCTAAAGCAAAGCCTAACAGTTTGACCTTTGTCATTCTGCCCTGCCCTCCCTGCCTTACCCTGCCCCGATCCACTCAGTTCCCAGGTAGACTTTTCATGCACGAAAGAGGCTCAGCTGGAATGCAGAGGAAACCCATACCAATGTGCCCAGTCTTTTCTTAAATAATAATCAGGTCATTGAGTGGAACAAGAAGCATGAAAAAGACAAGAGCAGTACTAATAGTAGAGTTTAAAAATTGACCCCCAAACAAATAGGTTATTCAGGAAATGGAAGAAATATATACATATATATTGTGTTTTACTCAGGTTTAAGAAAACGTGTGTAAAACTAAGAAGAGGATGCTATGAAAAAGGAATAGAAAAATCATTATAAAAATAGAAAATTTAAGAGATGATGGACGGCTCTGGGATAGTGCTCCTGGCCTACACCTAGCCTCGCATGGTCCCAGCTGGACACCCAACCTGGTCCCTCCAAGCCATTGGACCTAAGAGTCCTTAAAATGCAGGCATAGATGGTGATCAGAGCACCTCCTGCAAGTCACCTACATTGGGCCACACCTGAGTGCACAAAGTACTGACACTCACCTGGGTGAAGAATAGATCCAGGAGATAAAATAGGTAAAACTCTGCTCAAGCACAGACTTTCCGAATAGAACTCCAGTTGTATAAGAAATAATATCAAGAATCAATAAATGGGATTTACCAAATTAAAAGTCATTCGCATAGCAAAGGAAAAATCACAGCGAAGAGAACAAAATGGGAAGAGACACAGAATGGAAAAAATATTTTGCTAGCTCCTCCTTAGACAAAGGACTAATATGCAGAATATATGAAGAACTCAAAAAAATCAGATCCCCAATAATAAAAAGCCAAATCAAAAAACAGGCTGAAATGAATAGATACTTTTGGTGGGGGGTGGGGGGTGGAACTGGGGATCAAACTCAGGACCTTGCACTTGCAAAGGAGGCAGCGAAACCACTGAGCTGAATCCCCGGCCCAGGATAGACACTTTTTAGAAGAAGTACAAATTGCTAATAAACACCTGAAAAAATATTCAACATCTCTGGTCATTAGAGCAATGCACATTAAAACAACACTGAGATTCCATTTTATTCCAGAAAAAATGGCTATCTTCAAGAAATCAAATAGAAATGCTGGCTGCGGGGAAAAAAGGAATCCTTTTACATTGTTGGTGGCAATGTAAACTAGTGCAACCACTATGGAAATCCGTGTGGAAATTCCTCCAGTAGAAAGTCCATGCAGCCCATCTGTTTCCCTTCCAGGTGTCTCCCTGGAAGAGTTAAAGACGTATTACAACAATACCCTTATTTATAGCAGCCCACGTCATAATAGCTAAATTTGGAAGTGACCTATATGTCTATCAATAGGTGAATGGAAAAAAAATATTTATACACAGTGGAGTGCTATACCATAAAGAAGGATAAATGTGAGTGATTTGTTGGAAAATGGGTGCTCCTTGAAACAATGTTAAGTGAAATAAATCAGATACACACTTAAATATGGTATGCGTTCTGTGAGAAATCCAAAGTATGAATAAAGAGCAAATTAAGGCTGGGCATGGTGGCACATGCCTGTAATCCCAGCTCTTGGGAGAACTAGGCAGGAGGATTACTGTGAGCTCGAGGCCAGCCTGAACTACATTATGAGAACTTATCTCAAAAAACAAACAAATTAAGGATAATAGGAAACAGGGAGGTAGGTCTTTTGTAAATGGGACGATCTAAAGATGGAGGGAAGTAAAAAGACTTAAGATGCATTATTTGCATGTACCAACTCCCTACAGTGAATATAACCATCTATACTGCAAATATGTACTAATGGAATCTTTTTTAAAAAGATCCAGCAGCATTGCTTGGGATGGTCTTGTTTTGGATAGGTTCAGATAAACTTGACAGTTTTTTCCCAACATTCTGGATGTGAACAGCAAAAAGGAATGACACCATTTCCTCCTCAGCACGAAGGTTGTGATGTCAGCAGAGGCACAGGGCTCCCTCCACGCCTATGTCTAGCGTGGTAAGCAGGACAGGCTGCTGAAGCAACACCTGCTCATTCTTCGCAGCCTATCTAGAGACGACCATGGTACAAAATGGAAATAAAAATGAGGCTTCAATATGAAAACATTCAAACTCTCATTGTACGAAGAGAGCTGCATTTTTAATGTGCATTGAGATACCATTTCTCACTTTCTAGATGAGCAAGACTAGAAGTTAGCATCATACCGTAGGGGTGTCCTAGGTCACAGGCACACTCAGACACAGTAATGCAGATCTCTGCAAAATTCTGGGGAATTTGGCAGGATCTGGCCAGATGCAGTGCTCATTTACCCTTTGACCCCACATTCCTGTTTCTAAGAATCTGTCTCAAAGATGCACTGACAAAGTACGAGAAGGTATGTGTTACAGTGTTAGCTATTGTGATACTTGGTAAAGCAAAAGATTTTTTAAATGATGTTTACCAAGATGTGACTTATTAGCCAGACATGGTATAAAGACAGGTGCATGCCTATAACCCCAGCACTCAGGAGGCTGAGGCAGGATGATCGCCGTGAGTTTGAGGCCAGCAGGGCTACATAGTGAGTTCAAGGCCAGCCAGAACTATATAGTGAGACTATCTCAAACCAAAAAGAATATGTGACTTTTTAAATAAACTGTAGTGTGTCTGCAAAGTGAGTGTTATGCAGCTGTCGCGAGTCATGAAAACATCCGGTGCTGCTATGGAGGGATGCCAGGATATAGTACGGTTAAGTGAGGAAAGCAAGTTATTCAACAGTGTGTCGAGTAAGCTGTCATTACTGGCCAGATTGCGTCCTCCCGCCCCAATTTCTGTTTGAAGTCCTAATCTTTAGTCCTTAAAAAGGTCATTGGTTGTAACGGAGTCTGCAGGTGTCCTTATGGGAAGAGGAGGCTGGGACACGAAGGGCCACCAGCGATGTGTACACATGGAGAGAAGACTGCGGACCCCATGAGGGGCTCTGCAAGCCCGAGAGTGGCCACGAGAGGAGCCAGGCAGCGTGTGGATCTTAGAGTCGCCGCCTGCACACTCGTGATAACCTGCCGAGTCTGTCACGTGGGGTGAAGGCAGCCCTAGCAACCATACTGTCACTTGTCTAAGCAGAGTGTCAAAAAGTAATTCACATGTGTAGACACGTACAAATGTTGAATGAAAATAAAGTCTAAGACAAAAACTGGCTTTAGGGAACAGGGACACAGGAGAGGATGAATGAAAACTAGACTTTTTGAAATGTGCACTGTTTTTTAGTTGACTTTGCAACTATGTAAATATTTTATATGACTGTGAAACAAAATTAAATTAAAACTAGGAAAAAGTACTGTACTTAAAAATTGGAAGCAGAATGAAATATTGTACAGTTTTCAAGTTGGTAGCCCAACTTCTGAGGATTGTTTTCGTTTAGCAGGTGTGGGTATCAAACTCAGGACCTTGTGCTTGTGGGGCTGGTGGTGGCACCACTGAGCTAAATCCCCGGCCCCACTAAGGATTTTTTTCAAACCTGGAATTTGAATACGGTACAGTGGTACCTCAGTTCACAAACTTGATTCCTTCCGTAATTCTCGTCATAAACTGAGTTGAACGAGAACCAAATCCAATGGTTAGGGGCTTGGGATTTAGCTCAGTGGCACTGCACTTGCCTTGGAAGCACAAGGTCCTGAGTTCAATCCCCAGTACAAAAAAAAGAGTCAGTGGTTAGGATCAGTGTTGACCTGATGGAGAAACTTGATTCCATTTTCATCCACTTTGGTTTGTGGCCAGAATCTTGTAGAGGATTGAATTTGTGAACCAACAAGGTACCACTATTGTAGTGTGATAAAGACTGAAAATACAGTACCTACAAAGAAATCATAAGCAGTATGTAACACTGATATTGATATAGTTCAATTTAGAGTAAAGCTAAAGCAGTGTTTTACCATATGAAGTGAAAGATACAATTTTATTAATTCAAGCCAGCCATTACATGCATGTAATCCCAGCACTTGGGAGGCAGAGGCAGGAGGATTAAGTGTTCCAGACCATCCTAGATTATGGAGCAAGACCTTACCTCAAAAGCACCACAAAACAAATTTGTCTCACACTAAATTTAAGACTGGGACAGGGTTTCAGCTCAGTGGTTCTGCCACCTGCCTCGAAAGCACAAGGTTCTGAGTTCAATCCCTGGTACACACACAAAAACTAAATTTAAGACTAATTTTGGATTGGAAATATCAGTATGAATTCATTAAGAGAGTGAGCAAGTCTCACTGGCCCCCACAGCGGCACTGCTCTCTGCCAGTTCAGGGGATCAGGGTCCTGTGGCAAAAGGACTCCTTTCCGATTCCAACAGCAGGCGCAGAAGTGAGCTTGGGTCTACACCAGAGTGGGGCGGGGGCGGCTAGAGCGCACAGACCAAAGAGGTGACTTGACCATTTGACCATCAGAAATAAGAGTTGCAGTGCAGGAAAACAGTAAACATGACCTGACCGTTTTGTATGTTAACCCTTGAAACCACAGCTCTGTGTGCTGTCCACTGTCGTGATTCCCGTCTTACAGAGAGGGAGAATGAAATAAGTCTTCCAGTTACTGCCTAAGATTGTAAAGCAGTTTAAGTAGCAGAGTCAGCACTTGAATCCAAGGTATCTGGCACCAGAGGCAAAATTGTTTCTCCTTTGCAGCTCTTCTGTGAACCACACCTAAAGATTTTTATTTTCTGTTGGTTTCCATCTCCATTGACCATGCCGGCATTTCCTCAGCTTTTCCACGGAGCGTCTGTCAGCAGATGTTCTATGAAAAAAGTGTTTAATGGAAAATTATGTGTGTAGAGATTATTTGCCCTGAGAACTTCTCGGAATTCTGTGTTAAATTTGTATTGCATACCATCAAGAGGGACAATTCTTCTTATAGCAGTAGAAAGTTATTTTTTCATGGAATGTGGGGTTTTGTTTTTATATCTACCGATAGCTCAAGGAACACACCGTTCTGTGCCATTTCTGTACTCCTGAATCTCAGCCACTGTCCACACCATTACTTTCTCCTAAATCTCACGTGCTGCCACCCAGATGACCTTTCCGTGTGCAAGCTCAGAGACGTTCACACCCAAAGCGCAGTGCGCACAGGAGGCTTGCTTTCATTTCAGTCGTTGCCGCAGGGCCTGCCTGTGGGCCTTGCGTCTGCTGCTCCCGTGTGAACGTCCTGGCCGTGCATGGCTGGGTGCAGCTCTTGGTCCGTGTTGCCTGGCTTTGAGCTCCTGCTTCCCTTGTCTTTGAGAGGCTCTTGTGCTCAGGCCTGTGATCAGCCGGAACCGCTCTCAGGTGTGTGAGGTTTTACCCGGACATCTTTCTGTGGATCCCACCCTGAGTACCACTGTCAGTCAAATACCTATCTTCTCAGTCCAGAGTCTGTTATGGTGAAGTATTGAAACTGTTTTGAGGCCATGAGCTCCTTCAAGACCACATCCTGTGTGGATTTTGGGCCCACACCTACCATGTCATTACCAAGCACATAGAAGTTTCTTCAGAAATATTTGAATGAATTCTACTTTCTGAAAATATTGTTAAAAGCAAATTTGATGTTGGCCTAACGTCTGGTTCCCTCCAATGTTACCACACTGAATACATTCATTACTTTTGTCCATAAATCTTTCTGGTAATTCAGTGTAGTATTTGAGTTTCCCTGAAGTGTTTTCTATGTGAAACTTTTCTTTTTTAAACAAGCATAGGACATTATTTCTCAGTTGCTGGTACAGCACTCACTTGAATCTAATACTGCATTCTGGACATAACTAGAGCAATTTTTAATTTTTCTAGGAACCTATATTTATTTTTTAAAAACCCAGGATTTTGCTAAGACTTTGACCCCCATCTTCTCTTTGTGCTTGTTAAAACCCATCTTATTTTGACCTGTCCATTTTACTCTTGCTCACCTCATGTCTGTATCAGTTGGTTCAGCTTGCTTTGTGTTGTCTTCAGTTTTACCTGCACAGCTGTTGCTGCCTCCCCCACACTCGTTAACAGCGCCCCCTGTCGCATGTCACTGCATCCTTGTCACACATCTCCTAGGTTTGTCCCGCTCTGTAGCATCAGATCCATTTTTTCATGTACCCAGTGCTTGTCTTCGCAAATGCTTTGTGGAAATAGAGCTTCTGAACAGTTTATAAATCGAGATCTGCTTCTTATTTTCTCTGACTTGGTATATTACCCTACTCCTTACCAGTGACTCAGATGCCTGTGATCTTCAGTGTAATAACTGATGGTACGTTTTCCTGTCAAAATTACCTAAACATAATTAGTGTCCAATCACCAAAGTAAAGCTCATTAGAAGTGAAAGTTTCAAAATTGTGTGTGATCTTAGATCTCTCTCAGTTACAGTGTTTTAATCCATCTTCTCAGGTTTTTAAAAGTGGCAGAAAGAAGAAAAGAAAAGGAAAGAAAAGTGTGGAGAAATCTTTGTATGGAGAAAGAGAAACTGCTTCCAGGAAGCCGCTGCTGAGTCCTATTCCTGAGCTGCCAGAGGGCTCCGAGGCGGCAGCTTCCGTCACAGGCCCCCGAAGGCTGCGTGCAGGTGCCCTGTCCTCGTCCCCTTGGCCACGTCCTGTCTTCTGTCTTCACCTCCTTATTGCTGTTTGATTCTTTCTTCCTTTTTTGCATTCACTCTGTAAGTCGTACAGAAATAAGAATAGCAGCACTTCTTAATTATTATGAAAATTGTAAGTGAAGAAAGCTGTAGATAGTTTGTGGACTTTTTTCAGAATGTGATGAAAGCTCTGGATCCTTTTTCTAAAACAACATAAGATTTTTTTTTTTTAACAACACAGGACGTTCAATCCCAGCATTCCCCTTTCCCCCATTTAAAAATTTTTTTTTCTTTGAGACAGGAGTCTTGCGTAGACACTGAATTGTCCAGGCTGGGCTTGGACTTGCAGCCCTCCTGTCTCAGCCTCCCAGAGTCCTGAGACTACAGGCCTGTACCGTCCTAGCCAGCTTAGACACAAGATTTTGTGTGTGGTTTCCTGGGAAATAATTTCTGTTCATCATCATTTCTGCTTCTCAGAGCATCTTGCTGAATTCCACTTGGTGGTGTGGCCCATCATTAGATGCGAACAGGGTGCTAGATCTTACAGGACAACAAAAGTAAAAAATGTACCCATGCTATCTCATTAGCATTGGCATTGCTAGGCACAGCACACATCTACAAAAGGTAACTGCTAAGCAGACATCTTCTAGAAATGGTGTCTATAAAGTGAGTTTGATTACCTTGAAAGCTATTTATAAATGAAAGTCAAGTCTGTTAACACCCTGATTGGATAAAAAATGTACCAGGCTGCCTTTGCTTTACAGTGCTTGAATTTTAAATTGACTACAGTCACTAAATGTAATAAGTGGTCTTTTCCACCTTCTGTGAAGGCCCCAATCCATGCATGGGGGCCTCACTTGCTGGAGGCTGCAGTTTCAGCAGAGAATGAGGAATAAGATGTGTGTGTGTCTGTGTGTCTGTCTGTGTGTCTGTGTGTGTGTCTGTGTCTGTGTTTAGAACAGTGCGGCAAGCAGGGCTCTGAGTGCAGTGCTTTGTATTATAACTTAAAAAAGGAGCTCATGTGTCCTCCAAATCCCCAGATTTTCTCTCCTTATTTCAGGGGAAACCTGGAATGAGAAGTTTTAGAAGCACACTGTTGCCCATTTTTAGGAATTCATTTTCAGGGCAGTGGGAAATGTGGTTGCCTCGAGCTAGTGGCCCTTGAGGTGTGGGAGGAGCGTGGGTGCAGGGAACGCAGTTCGGGGCACTGGTCTCGTTTTCATGGTCTGAAGCTGTGTGCTTTATGAGTTCGTGCATCCAATGGCTATTTTCTTAACCTGTGCACTAGGAACAGCTGAGAGAGGAATATAATGACAGATGAGGACAGGTACAGTGTAACCCTTGTAGGTCTTACAATTTTTGAAAGCTTAAAACCCAATGTGATAGGGCATAATTACATACAAAGCACCAGGGTATTTAATAAATGTGAGGTTTATTTCCATCGTTACTTTTCAATTACATTTAAACTTATTTACATGCCCATAGATGATTTCAGCTCAACTGGAAAACGGGGAGAATTGGAGCTGCTTAACACCCCTGCTAAGAGAGAGAATCTTTGGCTTCTGAGCTCAGATTTGCATTCGCAGCAAGGCTTCGATGGATCCGATGCCTTTGAACTCTGCTGCTCCGATGTGACCGGTTCCTCACTGCCCACGGCCACCTCTGATGAAGATTCAGACACAAACGTGGGTAACAGTGCAAATATGGCAAAGGCAGAAAATGAGCAGGAATGTGAAAGTGAACTCAGAACTGACATGCAGACCAAAAGCAGTCAAGCTTCTGGCGCGTCTGTGACCAAAGAACTCCCTGTGTCAGATGATCTGAGACGTGATCTTATCCCGCAGTGCCAGGAAGTTGCTGTCAGATCTTTAGGTCAGGTTGCAGAAAAACTTTGTCAGATTTTTAACACTGCAAAAGATATAAAGTTGAAGGAACAGGATGACTTCTTAGTAGCTGCAGAGGGAAAATTGCAATGCGAGTCCACATCTGGCTCACAAGAAGAATTTAATTGTTTAGAAGATGTCCTCACCAGAAAGGGCCAAGAATCTGAGAGCCACAGCGAGGATGTGGAAAGCCGGCCTGCAGAAAGCGGGAATACTACAGGTTGTAGAGGAGGGAAACGCAGACGGCTCTCACTGTGCCGCTCTGACGATCACAGTGTCTGTTCACAGCAAAGCGGGAATCACAATCCTTCCTACGGCATGGGAAGCTCTGCAGAAGTGAGTCTCGGAGATCCCAAACTATGTAAAGATTTATGTGACGCCATAGAGCAAGCCTTCCAGAGAGCCAGTAGTGAAACCAAAGTACGGCGAAGCACAAGGCTCCAAAAAGATTCCGAAAACCAAGGGCTTGTGTGGCTCTCACTTCCGTCTCCTTCCACTTCCCAGAAAGCCAAAAGGAGAACCATCTGTGCATTGGATCGCAGGGAATTTGAAAGTTCGTCCCCTAGAAAACAGACCCCGTGCCCTGGGCAAAACCCAGGTGTGGTGGCCTCCATGTCAGGTGAAGAAAGCAGCCAGGACCAGGCTGCCACTGGCTCTCGTGTAACTGGGAAGAGGAGGAAGAGCCTTTGTGCCTTTCCCAGGGAGAAGGCGGAGAGCTTGCAAGGCAAGAGCTAACTAACCACGTCCCAGAGCGCTTGGCTGCAGAGGTAACCTGGCCTCGCGTCTTCCCTCCCACCTCCCAGCCTTTGTTCCAGTGCAGTGCTCGCAAGTTTCGAGTAAAATCGCCTATGATTTTTAAGTAGAAGTAAGTGAATTTCTTCATCATTTGAAATCAAAACATCCTCTTCAATGTGTGTGTGTTCTCTCTCCCCAAATAGTAAATGCTTTTGTTAGTATTTTGCTTAAAAACTGTTTTTATACCCAGAATACATTTCTGAATTTTTATTTCATGACCATACATTTAGCCCCGAAGGTTTAGACTCTGCTGTCAAAACATCCTTTAGAATCGACTGATTGTATCTCAGAAACTAGCTTCTTTTGCAGAAGATAATTTGATGGAAATAGTGAAACTTTATGAAAATGAAGATAATATATAAACACTTGAAATGGTGAATGCTATGAGATGTGTTTTTATTTTACAGTGTGGCAAAAATGGTTAAAATTCTTCAAGAAAAATAAAGATTACAAAGCTTGTTTTCTCTTTGGGTTAAATGTAAAGGAAGCTTTCATGACTTTGCTGTTCTCAAATGAAAGTTTTGCTTTAGTCCTTAAAATAAATGTGAAATTTCAGAAAATTCTTTGGATAACTGGAATAACTCTACTGTGAAAACAACATTTCCTTCAAGGTTCTGTGCTTGTTGGGTCCAGCAGTTTAGTCTTTTAAAGACTAGACTCCCAAATTAGTCACAGGCAATTTGGGATCGAATTCATGGTTTGCCATAAAAATAATTTTGAAGAGCAAAACCTCTTTTGAATGGGCTCTGGAAAATAGTTGTACTGACAAGTAGCACGGCGGTTGGTCACTGATTTCCTGGTCACTGATTTTCACGCAGCATTTTCCACCAGCTCTAACTTTTTATTTCATGCTACCCAGGACCATCACTTGTCTCAGTTTCTCTAGTTATGCTTTTTGCAATATTTCCCATGGCTGTTTTAGTTATAGTAGCTTGAAAAGCCAAAATTGCTGTCCATCCGGAATTTGTGAGCCCACATAAATCATCGTATCATTAAACAATTGTCTCTGAAATCCTTTAAATCATTAAGCTCTCCAGGGCCATGATAGCAGAAACAGGGTAACAAGTAGAGCCCCTATAAATAACACAACAGGGAAGAAAGCGCCCGCTGGGCAGCCCATTTCCCCCTTGGAGATGGAGACTATTTGTTACCTCTGCGGCACCGGCGGGTCTGGGCCTCCCGCTGCTAAAGACTAATGTATTTTACATTAACACTCAAAGTGATCCCCAATTTCTTCTGCTCAAGGGTGGATTGTTTAAAATTTTCTTTTATCTTTACATGTAAATTATTTATGGACTGTCCCCCTCATTTAGGTTTGGCGTGGTTGCCAGATCAATACCACTGAAAACAAACTTTAAAGAAAACTAATTATCTTCTTAGGAGGTCTTTCAGTTTTGATAATTTTAAAAGAAAAGTTCAAGTGTTAAAAGGATTTGAGGTTTTACAATTTTTTAATTTCTCCTTTGTTTAATATGAAGGCTAAAAACGATTGATATTTGTCCCCCTTCTACTTGATGATAATACAGCGACTCAGCTGTATTGGACTTCTGAACATTTCACATGCTTTGTTTATTTCTCGGAAAGTGCTAATGAAGATGAAGGAACTGTTTTGACCTGTGATTTTTATCTTGGTTTTTCTGATGTAAATTTGTTCTCATTTTTTAACGCCTACAGTTTAAAATATAAACATACTTTATAGTCCTATCGATTTGAAAATGTTTCCTTGTAAATATTTTATTGACATCTGTAAATAACAAATGGGCAGTTTCCGGAAAAGAACAAGTCTCAAAAGTCACAGTTTAGACTTGAGTTTTATCTAGCGAATCTCGCTTGTTAAAAGATTTATAAAGTTAACTTCTGTATTTGATCGTGCTTGCTCACTTGTTTGTTTGCTTCTTTTTCACTGTTTTCATTAACAGTTAAACAGTTGGCTTCAAAATGTTTTCTTTCCTGCCTTTTTTATTGCAGTACCCAGCCCTGCACATTTTGCTCCTCTCCGGCTTACATCATCCACTTCCCTCCTGCAGATTCTTGTCAGCTCCAGTAGATGGCAGCATGACATCTGGAGTTTGCCCTTCCCTAGGCGAATCCTAAAAGCAAGGCAACTCTAACTGCTGTTTCCTATGCTTCCCTTTACTTTTACTCATTTTTATTACAAAAATAGTAAGTGTCTCTTGAAACGTGCTGAGACCTATACAAAATTAAAACAGAAACATCAAGCGCTGTCTTCCTTTTCCACACACCGCATAAATACGGTGCTGGCTCACTTTCCTCCCAGGGCATTCGTCGTGAACCCTGGTAGCAGCTCATTGCCCACAACTTTCCTGTTACTCAGAAGTACGGTGTCATTGTCGGCCAGCAGCATCGCTGCATGTGCTGTTCTACAACTTGCTTATTCCACAAGATACCGATGAGTATCCTGCAGTCTGACAGACAGCCCTAGGGCCATGTAAGTCTTTTTCAGCCCTGCACAGAATTAGGTATTTTTGACATCTGTCATCTAGGTAGCCATCTCCTTATTAATGGGTGTGAGTTGTCTCCAGCTTTTGCTCCTGAAAATTCTGCCACATTGGGTTCGTGTGGAAATGTCTCTGAAGGAGAAATTCTTTGCAATTAAAATATCGATTTCTCTCCCATAGGCCTTTGTTGGCCAGCTCCCCTACGTACAGACTTTTCCACTCTCCTTGCTGTCACGTTCTCTTGCTGCTTCATGTTCGCTCCCTGCCTTGCTCTCACTGGAGCTCCAGAACTGCGGGTGAAGTTTGGAGCTGGCAGAACAAGGAGAAAATGATTGATCGTGCCTGATTCATGCTTTGGAAAACTGAGCTATTTTTAAAGTCAAATGTAGTGATGTAAAGTAACTCAGTGCAATATACTCTTTAAGCATACAGTTCGAATGGCAGTGAATTTACAGTCATGTAACCATGGTGATAAGCAATAAAATGGTTCCCACCAGCCCAGCCTTCACAACTGCTGGTCTGGTTTCTGTTGCTATTCTGCTTTTTCCAGAATGCTACAGAAATGGAGTCATGTAACAGATACCCATTTATGTCTGGTTAAGTAAGCATACTGTTTTTGGGATTCACTGATGTCGCATGTTATAAGTAAATGATACCTGTTTACTACTGGGTAGTATTCCTTTTTATAGATGTACCACTGTTTGTTTATTCATTCACCATTCTGGATGTTTGGATTGTTTCTGTGTTTTTTGGCTATTACAAATAAAACTGCTATAAATGTTCACATTTTTTTTACAGACTTGTTCTTTGTCTTGGATAGAGATGGGATTCCTAGATGTATAATTGGTATATGTTTACCTTTTTAAGAAACCATAGGCCAACTATTTTGGTACACACCTTTGATCTCAGTACTCGGAGGCTGGGGTAGGAGGATCAAAAGTTCAGTCCGGCCTGGACAACTTATTAAGGCCCTGCCTCAAAATAAATATTTTAAAAAGGGCTGGCCATATAGATCATTGTAAAGGAAATATGAAATATGAAAAGCAGGAAAGAAAAGGGAAAAAAAAACCTACCAAGCTTTATGTAATGGCTAAACCACTTTTCATTCCTAGTGTCAACACATTTTTTTTTCCTTTGCTTTGTGTCTTCACCAGGATGTGGTATTTTGGTCTTTTTTATTTTAACCATCCTATTACATGTACAGTAGTGTTTCATTATGGTTTCAATTTACTTTTAATTGTCATGTGTTGTGTGAGATGAGGGTGGAGTTTTGTTTTTAATACAAATTACCCAGCTCCGTTTGTTACAAAGCGTATCCATTTCTCACTGAATTATGTTGCCACCTTTACTGAGCTCATTTGAGCTTACCTTTGTAGATCTACTTCTGGATTATATTCTTTGTTTTTATACTGATATCACATCATTTTAAAAGCTTTTAACAATCTTTTACTGCATGGCTGCCTATTCAAGTTTTATTGGCCAAAATTAACTTACTTGATCTTTTCCCCTGTTTTCTCTGCTTATTTATAGGTTATTTCTACTATGACAATAAAATTCTTAAATAGGAAAAAAAAATCTTTTACTGTGAATTTGTGTCACAGTTTATGTTTAAAGTTCTTGGGAAGGTGTTGAGGAAAAGCAACACGCTAACTTACCAAATCTGTCTGGAGCCTTCAGTTACTGCCCAGACCTAGATCTACCTGCTGGGCAAAGAAGCCAAGTCAGTAGTGAAAAGCTTACAGAGATATGGTAAGGAAAGCAATTTCCCTGCCGTGCTTGTACCGTCTGCCCAGCCTGCTACAAACTGGTTTACTATAGTTGAAGATTCAGAGTTGTGACCATGCATCACTAGAAGATTCAGTTGCTGAGAAGTCATCGTCTTTCTGTACTATGCACTGTAAATAGTTGTAAGAAAATTGAGGTATATTAAATAAAGTTGCTAAAAAATTAAACCTGGTCCATTTATTTTCATGAAAGTTTTATTACAGTTTGGTTTAATATAAAAAATCACCACTCCACACTCAGAAACCTTAGGATCTGAGAATTACTTCTTGACCCTGGAAAATGTCCCCGCACCAGGTCACCTCAGGTAGGCCGAGCATGGCTTTATTGATACAGGCATGTAGCTGACAACTACGTGGGCCAGGCACTCATTTGTGAGTGGAGCCACCACTTCAGATGCTCAGTTCTCCCTGAGGGGCAGAACACAGGTTTAAAAAGGGATCCCGAGGATCGCCAGCCCTTCAGGTGGCACCAGCTTTGGACCAGGCAGGTTTCCTTTTACTCTGCAGAAGTTAACGCTTGAACAAGTTCACTGTTCGGAGTTTTGTTGGAGTGAGATCCACAGTGTAAGATCCAGACCAAATGCCTTTCAGTACTGTTCACTGAGTCCAGGCCGTAGATGCAGGCTGGCTGCCTCCTGTGTATTTCACCTTTTTCTTCCATTCAGGATGAACCTGAAATTCGAACTAGACTACAGGTGGTAAATTGTACAGAACATTTTAAATAAACCTCTTGAATGCTTATGCATTTGTTTTTTGTAGTACCAGGTCTCTTTATGGCATGTCTGAAGGATTTGATCTGGGTTTGAAATCCTAGATCAAGTGAGTGGAATTGGTATTCAGTTAAAATAAATAATTGTACATACAAAAAATAGGGTTTTGTCTTAAATTTATGTCATGACTGTGGTTTGGCTAGCCTTACAATGTACTAATTGCTATTGCATTATAGCTTAACAATTTCAAATTTTCCAGTATACAAGTATGTTCATTTTGTATAATCTTTGATGCTTTTCTTTTTTTAAAATGAGACTGATACAAACTACAAATGATAGCTTAAGTGAGAAATGAGTAATCACTCCCATTTAGTGGATATATATTTTTATTTTACATCTTCAAGATCATGCTTAGCCTGGTTATGACCCTGAAGATTTATTGGGGGAAATTTTTGGGGAATTGGGATTCAAATATTTTCTGGAACTGCTACTTTTTTTATATATATACTTTATTATGCCATATATAAAAATAAAAGAAATGAGTGCACAGTAAAGAAAAATACGATTTTGTAAGGGGTGGTTGGAATTTCATCACATTTCCAATGCCCATCTGGACAGCTGATTTTTAAGTCTTCTTTTCTCATTTGTCAAAAGCATACAACTTGACTAAATTGTTTAATTTACATGGTGTGATAAAAGTGTTCTGCAGCAGCACATCAGCTGGCATTCTGGGTTTAGATGTGATAGAAGAACATTCAAATTATGTTTTAAAATTCCAAAACCACAAGTGTATGGGGATTTTTAAGCTCTTCAGTTTAGAGGCAACTATTATATCTGCTTACTAGCTCTAACATTTCCTTTTCATGTCCTTATTCACCCACTTAAAATTTACTTTTAAGAAAATTCTACCTTTAAAAAAGTTCTTCCATTCTGATAATATTTCATAATCATTGATTTGATAGTAGCACTTCTTTTTTTGCCATTTAAAGTCAAACTGCATTTCCAGTGTTATATCTAGGATTCTTTTGGATAAACAAGGAAATAAGTGCTAATAGTTGTTTCTGTTTTTGTTTTCCTCAGTTTAGGCACATGAAAAAGCTCCTAAGTAGCATCAGGTACTTGCAAAAATAGGTTCTTCCAAGTGTCTGCTTCAAACAGTGGAATTTTTCTTCTTCAGTATAAAATTGACATTAAGCGGTTGAAAGTTTATATAGAAAATGAAGGCAAGAAAATTTCTCGGTTCAAGTAAGTTGTGTTCAGATGCCAGGTTGAACATAAAATGTGTGACTTTATACCTAACATTTGAAGAAATGCAGTGTATCCGATTCTAATTGTTCAGAACAAAGCTGTATTCCAAGGCACCCATACTTATACTTGTCTTTTCCTTGTTTTAAGTATAAGTTGGGAATGAAGATTTCAGAAGCACTGTATCCCCCACTCAAACCTGAAAAACCTGGTGTTAGTCTTGGGTGATTTCCAGTGACCCTCTGCCTCCCTTCTTCCTGCCCCCTGTGTAGATTTGGAACCGGGCAGCCATTTTTGTTTTTGGAAGGGAAAGGAGACAGATATAATGAATGACTTTTATTGTGCAATATTTCAAACTCTCTTGAATGCATTCGAATGGGGTGGAAACTGCTCTGCCCTATGTCATAGCCAAAACAAACAAAACATATTCCCTAAACCTGGATGTGTATTTCTCTCAAACTGGCAGTAGAGTTCAGCTCTCAAACAAAAATTTGATTTGACAATTTTTAGCCCTTGTTCAACGGAATATTAGGATAGGTCGCAGCCAAAGCAAATACCATGGGGAAAAATTAATGTACATATTTACAGCTTGCAGGTGGCATTTTTTTCTTAATAGTTGCAGATTTGTCTTAAAGAATTGCGTTTGTGGTAATACTTTTAAATAGACTACTCTTTTGCCAATATCTTAGAAATGAATCCTGATAATAATAACTCAAAGTGTGAATAAATTCTACAGAGGTCCCTGAAGAATGATAAATGGCTGAATTTAAGTATTTAAACGTTTAGAGGCCAGGAAGAATCTGAGAAATCTAGGAATATTAGACGTAACAAATACGCACTAAAACCCCTTTGGTAGCATCCTTCTATGCCTGCCCCCCCAAGAATCCACTCTTAAGAAGCATCAATGGTTCCTTTATGATACAGCCTTCAACATTACCAACTCCAGCCAGTCCCACCTCGGCTGTTAAGTATTCACCCGACCTCGCCTCTATGGGGAGAAAACACATGATCAGCATCATTCATTTTGTGACGCACCATAACCCAGTTAAGATGCATGATTAATCACAAAATAGCTTTGAATTTATGGTATGGTTACCTGTGAACAACAGGCTCTTGCTTTATGTCTTAACTAAGAAGATATGGTGGAAACGAACTTGTAAACCAGGGATCTGTCCCTCATAGTGGTCACAAAGACTTCAACCCCCCCTTCCAGGTCCTGCCCTTGAAATAGAAAATCCTGACACTGATCAGATGTTTGATCAGACGTTTTGCTCAACACTCTCGGGCAGGAGTGTGAGTGGAGTAAAACCACTGGTGAATCCCACGGGCTGCTGACTCCATGGCACAAACTGGACAGATGAATGCTGCCCTTGGCTTATGCTTTACTTAGAGACCTGCGTGTGGGAGCAAAGAGTCCTACTTCCCGAGCACTGTGAAGTCTAACTCTGTGCCTACAAACTAGCCTGCCTGGCATGTTGTACACAGACAAATCATTCGAAAGAGTGGGTGTTTAGGTGTGGTTTGTCACGGGTGGGTGAGTGGGTGCGGCTGAGACCCACACGCTCAGGCTGTGAAGACAGAAATGGATGGGTGTGTGATTCAAAAAGGGGAAAGGGCACCAGGAATGTCTGGGGTCAGAGTGGGTTCTTATATTTCAATCTGAAAATGTCGCTTTAAGTTCTTTGTCTTCCAATTTAGAAGTTGTGGAGGCGGCGAGTACTCTGAGTCACGTGGGAACAACTGAACGCTGGGTTGTCCGTATTCTACTTTTTAAAATTTATCCAAGTAAACTTATTTGTAAATTCCAAACTGACCTCCAATCAGACTGGAGCCTCTTAAGCAGTGCCCAGTGTTGGCTTCTTCTCTCTTCGGAGAAAGGCCCCAACTTCCCTTTAAGTACATTACCCAGGCAAGCCCCTTAGTGGAGGCTTGGCTCCTCCTCTTTTTCTTTTT